CTCACTAAGTTATGAACTTAATATGAATAAAAAAAACTTGAGAAAACAAGCACATAAGTTATATTTTCATTTAGTGAACCCCATTGATGTTTTGAGCTCTATTCTTGATTGTAATCAATCCTTAAGCTTTGAAATCCATCGTTGAACCTACCACATTAACCAAAATCTTCAATATTAATTTACAAGATTCAGAGAAGATTTCTTTTGATGAACAAATACATTAATATAAGCCCATAGCTGTTAGCCGTAGTTTCTGGTGTGTTTCTTACATGTGGCAACCTGATAAGCCTACCACAAAAGAAAATTCTATAAGCACCATTGTAAACTCCATTAACTTCAAACGCATCGACATGAAACAACAATACGCATAAACTTTTGATGTGTAATTAATTAATTATGCATTTGTTAAATATGAATCGAATAATAGAGAATCAATCGTAAATTTACATTGAAAAATGTAGGTGATTAGAACATAGAAGATGTGCTAAATGTAGGGAAATCTTTGCATTACAAGACGGCTTACCTTACTGTTTGTGAAACAGGCGCAAATTAAGAAGGTCTCGCATTTTGATTATAAGCGTTTCTGAATCATTAGCGTCCCTTTCGTCTGTGCCTATCCCGGATCCGTCAGGCTAGGGTTGTTCCTTATGTCGGAGAATGATTATCCAGGTGGTCGTGGAGGTTCCGCAAAACCCTAGCTTACATCTTCCATCTCTTCACATCCCACGATCTCTCTCTCGTACTAATGGAGGGTAATGAGAAAGATTCTTAATTTTTCTTTACAAGTGAGAGAGTCTCTTGAGACATAATAGAAAAGAGGAAGAAGACAGCGACTTTTCGGAAGTAGAAGCAATTTTATCGGGAGTAATCTTCTTTAGAGCCTAACTCCTCCTTATTTATTTTTAAATTCGCCTTAGACCCGAAAGTCTGGGTATGGCACTGTGTATAAATATAATAAATATATTCACCATCATCACTAACACCCTTGAAGTCCCTTTTTTTTGTAAGGACAATGATGTGGAGTACACTAGAGTTATTAGACCTTACCAAAGCTAACCTTCCCTCATACAATATCAAAATCCCGGGGGATTCCATCCATCGGATATTCAATCAAACCCAATTTCTCGGATCTGAGATCAGAACTCATTATGGCATTGTATAGAGTCGACAAAATTAAGGCTTCATAGTAAATGACTCCGTCAATGCATCTCCCGTAAGCTCTACTAGGGGTATGGCTAGGGCTAACTCCAGATACCATTCTCCATGATTCTTGAGTTTCCAACGTAAGAATCCCAATCTTGTTATTTGTAAGAATGCATAGGGCTTTGTATTTACCATTACTCGGACCATTTCTTGAA